CCTAAGATAAAAAGATTTGAGGATTTGTGTGTGGGGGGGAGGGGGAGGGAGGGAGGGAAGGGACAAGTGCTCCATTGATAATGGTGGGGTTTTGGCAATTACTTTTATTTGAAATATTACAAGATTATTGATTGCAATAGTGCTGACAAAAAAGATAATACAAACAAATATGAAAATTTGTCTTCTTTCAAATATGAAAATTTGTCTTCTATTTATATGTAATGTGGAAGTCTAGAGATCATCCATTTACAGTTGTGCAAACTAACAAAGATTTCTAGATAGCCACTTTCAGGAAACTATTTCACCTTTATCATTTTTCCCTTTCCCTCCCCAATAGTCATTGAACAATTCTTGCCCATTGAGCTCAGTTTTCAATGGACACATTTAGTTACTTTACTTCTTAGGATATTTTTCTTAAAGGTTTCTTAACTTCGTCAGACCAGGAATTTGACTATAAAAAGCATACTGGAGTCTGCACTCTAAAAAGAGGATGAGGCCACATGAAATATTAAGTTTGTTTTAGTAAAATTTGATTAAATCAATGAAAGATAATTAAAATATCATTTTCTCAATCCTTCTTTGATTTGGGCAATTATATATAAGGATAAATATTTGAATAAGACTTTGATATATGGACTTTGATATCTATGGACTATGAAGAGATGTTATGTGGAGTGTGCAAGGACATGTGCATAACATCTCATGGGTCAAAAAGAACTTTGCATAAGATCAACCATGGAGTGCTGCAGCTTGATCCTAGAAAACACACACTTGCTTTAACCTACATAGCTGTAAAATACATTAATAAAAATAGCTGTAAATACATATATCTTAAGAATATATCAGTTTAATTCATGGCTATTAATGTCAACACATTTTTCCAGTTCAAAGTTTTACTTGAAGCCCCCATACTTCATGGGGAACATGGTCAGAATCACAGTTTTAATTTCAACAGTACTATAGGGCAATGGGAAAGTTAGGACCATGGACAGAGGCATTCACATAAGCAAGGGCACTGAGGGAGCTGCTCTTGGTGCTGATTAATGCTATTTACATCTCAGATCCTGTATAAAATAGTTTTATGGTCATGATTATTTTGATAAAACTTGCCAAGAAAAGCCAATTGTTTTTTTTAAAGCACTGGAACCGCTGGTTGCTGGCATGAAGCTATTGTTTTCTTCTTCTTCTTGCTGAAATAAACACAAAACACAACATACTGAATTTTGAATGAAATAAGCTGTACTGTGAATCAAAGATAAAGTATGTGTGTATGCACACATGCAAATATTTCCATTTATATACATTTATCTCAAAGATTATATGCATTGTGCATATAAGGCACATATCATAAGTTCATTCAGTATTGTAGTATATTTGCCTACAACATTTGATGCAGGAGGGAAATTTTTATATTTATTTAATCAATTTGTATGGATTCCCATCTTAATAGGTGACTCTGGATGGCAAACAAAATTAAAATAAACTTAAATCAATAGAGCAACAGTAGAAAAATTAAAGTTCATAGCAGTTGAAGATGATATCAAATCAATAGAAGCTAAAATATCCAAGAAATAGAGTGTCTCACACACTCAATGCCCTAGGCATATCTACCAAGTCTTTACTGCTTTATAAAAGGAGAGCAAGATTGGTAGAAACATATGGCAAGAGATGGCCCCTTGGGGAAAACCAATGCACTCCACAAGAATCTGATTGCTGATCAATTACAGAAAACACTTTGAAGCAATTGGACCAATGTTAGTGGAGCAATGTCTGGTCAAAGTTGGACAAATGATGTCTCACAGTATTATATCGCACAAACATGCAAACACACACGCACACAGACAGAGGGGGTGGGGAGGGAGAGAGGGAGAGGGAGAGAGGGAGAGGGAAAGGGAGAGAGGGAGAGAGAGAGGGAGAGAGAGAGGGAGAGAGGGAGATACACTGCCAATATGAGAACTGGAGTTCCTGTATAATTTATATCATACAGATGTTTGGGATGTAAGTTGTAAAATGAAATTAGAGGAATCCTTTTTAACCCGAAAGCACAGGTATCAAAAGGTGTTATCCTCTTGTGTAAATAAATAAAGAAATGACCTGAGAAAAGCACCAGAACTGAAAAATGTAGTAGATTGTAGTGCCCACAGTTTCTATACAATTAAAGGTTCCCCACCCAATTATTAATGTTTCAACTTTAAGCACCACTACTTAGGAGTTAGAGAGACAGCTGTGTACATTTCTTTCAGCAAGATGAAGAATTCTGTGGCATATTAAAGAAAATAAAAGTTTGGAAAATTACAGGGACACATCCAGAGAGTTTTCTTGGCATAATACACAAATTATTTGCCATGGCTGTGTTCTGAGAGATCACTTTAATGTTATTTTCCTAGTCTACTCTACACATCAGGATTTCCAAGGTGAATTCCATCCAATACTACACAGGGCTGACCCCACTTAGTTTTCTAGATCAGACAATATTAGCTAGTGCTGGCTTCATGGGTCTGTACTATACAGCTACAATAGCATGCTATTTATTACAGCCAACTCATGTATCCTAAGATCCATGGACAGAAGACATGTACAAATGACTGAGTTAGACTTTGTATTAACTAAAAGAATCATGGAATTCAGTCGTTGATTTTTACCATTTAGATTTCAGTACCTTGATACTTTCAAAACATTGGGGAGGAGGTTGGGTATTTTTTGCATGCCCAGAGAATTGATTACTTGGATTACTGCATTGTGAAATAGTATTTCGGAGGTAAAACTGATATATTAAAATTCATCTCGAAGGCCCGAGGTTAGTCCCCGGCCCTATTTAGGCAAGAGTTAAAACGTCTATCAGTGAGACTGACACCCGGGAGAAACCGCACTATAACCAGATTTGGCAAGTGCCGCTCCCCTCCCCTCGGAGGCGCGGGGGTTGGGAGGGCAGTTGCGGGAAAAGGCGTAGGCGCGCTTCTCATTGCGCATCCTCGGGCTCGCTCCTTGTTTCTGGGCTGCCGGCGCTTCGGTCTGCGGCAGGCGGGCGATCATGGCGCTGAGCAATTTCCTCTTCGCCCAGTGCATCTGCTACTTCCTCGCCTTCCTTTTCAGCTTCATCGTGGTGGTGCCGCTATCGGAGAACAGCAACGACTTCCACGGCCGCTGCCTGCTCTTCACCGAGGGCATGTGGCTCAACGCCAACCTGACGGCCGAGCGGCAGCGCTTCACCGTTCAGGAGTGGGGACCCGAGTCCGCCTGCCGGTTCAGCCTCTTCGCCGGCCTCCTCTCCCTTCTTCTCGCCGCAGTGCAGGCCTGGAGGACCCTCTTTTTCCTTTGCAAAGGCCACGAGGAGTAAGTCTTGCCTCCACCTGGCCCGGGAACCGAAGCGAAGGGGTTGCTGCTTGTTGAGAGGTCGGGGGAGGCGAAGAAGGGGACTGAAAAGAAAGGGGGGAAGATCTACTCTTGGGGCCACAGCAGATGCAATGCCTGGGGCTCCAAGGGACAAATAGGATTTTTCAAAAGTTGATTTCCCTGGGGTGGGGGATTTCGCTTGTTCTTCTGGCCGGCTTGGTTCCTACAACACACTGACCCAGAGATTAGCTACCCCTGTTTACAGTTCTTCATTGTGTTATCTCACAACGAAGTTGGGGTTTATCAACTAAACTATGGTCAAATAAGCAATGACTAATCTGGGATGGGAAGATTCTATAATCTGGAGCTCCCGGATTGCAGTGGACACTACCTCTCATAATATTGAACAGCCCTGTCATTTAGAGTAGTGTTTGTGAGAGGTGTAATCCAGGCAACTGGGGTAGGCGTACCATTTTGGGACTTCGTAAATCCAGCCAACTACTTGATGGCATCATTTTCTGTGTATCTCTCTGCTGTCATTTACTGGCCTTCTTTACCAGCTATGGTAAATCCAATCTGGAGAGTATCCTGATGGAAAGGGTAGCCTATACTCATTGTTTAATTGTTGTGCAACTGTAAAACTTGACCAAGTTCCTTGATTAATGGGATTTACTTTGAATTGTGGCTGCATAAGATGACCACATAATATAACAGGCAAGGTCAACCAAACAGATGGATAAAACATCTGAAAGCTATTTAAATATACATTTTAAATGTCCAAATGAATGCATAAATACAGATTTCTCTTAATCGAGACCGGGAATTGTATTGCTAAGTAACATAGTCATAAAGCATGATGTCATGTAGCCACACCAACTTATAATGGCAGTGGTAGCAGTCCCAGTTGCCATTGTTAGGTGAATCCCATGTGGTTTACAGTGTCCCTCGGTCATATGATTGCCTTTTGCAGCCTCCTGATGGCTTTCCCATTGCCTTTGCTTGTCAGATGCTGGCAGTGACGTTCACAAATGACTACAGGACATTGTGACTGTTGCAATTGTAAACCAGTTATCAATTACCTGAATCATAATCGTGATTGTGGGGATGCTGAGATAGCACAGCTATGATGAACAGTCAAAATTGGCCTTGTTCAGCATCACCTTAACGTTAAACCTCAAATGCTGATTGTTCCATAGAGATTACCTGCAAAACCAGTAATAGAATACTTACCTACCAAGAAGCTAAACAAATCAAAAGCATTTGCATGACTAAAGATAAGTGATTCATTCTAGTTAGACCTTTCGCCCCCCAGTTGGGTACCTATGGATGTATTAGCTCAGGAATGTCAAACTCGTGTTGTCACAGCATTGTTACATGACATATCATGACTTTTTCCCCTTCGCTAAACTGGGTATGGGTGTGGCCAGTGCATGACACATCCAGCCCGTGGGCCATGAGTATGACAGCCCTGTATTAGATGTATGAGATGCTGAAAAAAATAATTAAAAAAATCTGCTAAAAAAAAGATGTATGAGATGCTGGAAATTGTAGTACAATAGATCTGGAGATACAAGATTTTGGTTAATACTTTCCTAAATTTTCCTAAAAGTTTCCATTGTACTGAATTCATCCCATCATATTCTTTGTTACTCTACTGCTATAAAAGTCAATCAGACCATTTAGAAAATTTATGTTGGCATTGTCTATTCAATGGAAAAGTAGGCGTAATTCCAGGCAGCTCGTCAATGTGCTTTGTGCATAGTTCATTATTGTAATTTTATGTGACAGCTATTGAAGACCTACATCATTGCAAACATTTTTTCTCCATTCGGTCTAGCTTTTTTCTTACCATCAATGAGCTGCTTTAACTCCATGTTCCATAATGGTACTGCTATTTACTCTCCTGAATTTTCTAGTTCTGAGGATGTATATACAGTATGTATTTCATATACTTCTTTTTACCATACTTTCAGACCATTACTTTGCAGTTTTGAAATCACCTATGAGTCTTGTCTTTACATATCCTTTCCATTCCAAGTAGAAAGCATTTTTTACATATAGAAGAAAATCTCACATCTCAGGCATGAAAGTTTCATCAGATATAAAGATTGTGTTAAGGTGCACTATGGAATTTTTCAAACCTTGTGGAGAATAAGAAAGAAATGAATATTTTTTAAAGAGGAGATGTGATTTGGAGATTTTATTTTCTTAAAATTAGCATCCAGATTAACCCAAAGCAGAATGATACGCAGAAACCAAAAGAGACAATATGTACTATTTTAGTGTGGGCTAAACAGACATGTTCAGCTAAGCAACCCAAGCCACATTTGTAGAACAAATACTGTTTTGATCTCTGTGGAGATGTGTTTCTATATCATTTGCTGATATTATACTACAAAGTTATTTAAGACTGCTTTATTATGACTTGATCAAAGAAAGGGGAGAGGAAGTTTTTGGTTTAGCAGATTTCATAAACATAAAATAAAATATCAGAATATAAAAAATATCAAAGGATCTGCTGCACCTGAGGATCAGAAGCATTCTGGATGCTGCAGTGATTCATTTCAGTTCCAAAATGTCTGCAACTCATTAAAGCAGCTGCATTTTTCTATGTATCCCTGTGATGCATATTTTGTGCATGTTTATTCATTCTAAAACAGCAAAATTCTGCAGCTAGGATTACTTTTTCCAATTGTTACAGACCATTCTGCATTTAAAATGGTCTACTGTAATTTACATAGGATCGCGTTGGCTCAGCGGCTGAGCTTGTTGATCAGCAAGGTTGACAGTTTGGCGGTTTGAATCCCTAGCGCCATGTAAAGGAGTGAGGCCCCGTTATTTGTCCCAGCTTCTGTCAACCTAGCAGTTCGAAAGCACGTAAAAATGCAAGTAGAAAAATAGGGATGACCTTCGTGGAAAAGTAACAGCATTCTATGTGTCTTCGGCATTTAGTCATGCCGGCCACATGATCACGGAGAGGTCTTCAGACAGCGCTGGCTCTTCAGCTTTGAAACGGAGATGAGCACTGCCCCCTAGAGTCAGGAATGACTAGCACATATGTGCGAGGGGAACCTTACATAACTGACTACAAGGACTTCCATAAAACCCTCTTTAGACTTTAAGACACCATTCTCAAATCAAATCTGAAACTCAGCAAGCCCCTAGAAATAATATTTAGGCCTTCTCCATATAATGCATTATAATACATTATAGCAGCAGTGAATATAATTTTCAAAATCTTCGAAATTTAACATCAGAACACCATTTGAGATACGCTGCAGCCAATCAGAGAGGTCTATGCAGGGTTGCTACTCATGAGAAGTTCTGCTTTTCAGTTCTATGAGGAGAAGGTTAAAAGGACTCCTTTTCTTTTCAGAATCGGAATCGGAACATATCCCAAATATGTTTCCTTTAAGGATTTAGGATTCCCCTCTCCCTTGTGGAGTAATCCCCTCATGATGTGTTCATGTTTAAATAACTTCAGACAGCTCCATATCCTCTGTGGAGGTGTTTTCTGGAGATACATATCTATTATGATAGTACTATGAGCTCCACATTACATTCAGGAGATTATGTGTGGAATTTCATTTAAACGGTTTAGCACCAGGACTTACATTAAAAGCCAGTTGTCATCATATGAACATATTCAGGTTTTTAAACCAATTTCAGAAGCTTTCTGACTGTATTGAGTAGAGTAATG